GATGACTTTTAACGCGATCTGAAAGTTTTCTCCAATTTCCATGTATACCTCCATTCCAAGACAACAAACTGGATTGAACACCGGGTCTGGTTAAGTTAGGAGATCCAAAAAGGGAGCAAGAGAAACAAAAGAGTGATGCCACAGTCTTACTCCAAACGAGCCAATCTCTTCTAACTTTTTCTCCGTTTCTTTGCTCCACTAAAAAGTTATAAGTAGGGAATTTGCGTTCATTTTGATCTCTTAGAAAATTGCTAGGATTTGAAGAAGGTCCCATTAGAATTATATTCGTTCGATCAGTGTCTGATATTGATTTCTATAGTGCAGGATTGTTAGAGATTGGTATAGAAAGATCACTTTTATAAATTTGTTGGTCATCAAGTACAAAATCCAACTGATCCTTTTTTAAATGTAATGATGTTTTTTGGGAGTCATCAATGTCATCGGCAAGAAAAAGATTGTCGGAATTATCGTCTGGTAACTCATTAGAGTCATTGATACCGATCTCAATATCATTGAACTATAAAGAAGTATTAAACAGAATTATTCTAATTATTTTTTCATGAACGTCACAAGATTTAAAAATAGTTTAACTACCTGCTTGCATTTATCTTCGATTTTTGTCCAACGAACGCAATCTAAAGGCGTTTGTTTGTTTTTGCTTTCGTTTTTTTCCGAATCATTGCTCTTTTTTCCCCAGCAGCTCTAGACAGCTGGTTCAATCGTGGAGGTCTTTAATTATTCATGCTAAAACTTATGACGATATAAAGAATTTTAACTTTTTAAATTTTAAAAATTAAAAACTGTATAATACTTTGGTGTTATTAGTTGCAGAGAAAAAGTCAGTACTTACAATTAAAATATCCACTGAAGATAAGTTTCTTGTCAAAATATAGTCGTAACAAAATGCAGGGGAGTCAAAAACATACATATGCACAAAAGTATCCACAGGGACGCAAGGTTTAAGCAAAAATAAATTAAACTATTAGAAGTTAGGCTTTTACAAACGTTAAATAAGAAAATTTTTTTTTAACGCTTTTTATTCTATCATGCGAACAAAAGGCCAATGAAAACGCGTGCGTTCAAATAGATGATAAAAACCTTGTAAAGTAATAATTATCCTATTTTAAATGCAAACAAAGTTTAAAAGGAGAAAGAAATTAATACACAAAAATTGCTTAATCTTTAAATACGTTATCAGCTAATTTTTTTTATCATTTCAATAATTTTTTTTTAAGGCATGTGATTCCCCATAGACTGTGATGCCCGGGGCAAACTACTTCAATTGCCTCCCCCCTCCCTCTTGGCGGCCCTGTATATATATATATATATATAATATATATATATATATATATATATATATATATATATATATATATATATATATATATATATATATAACAATACAATAAAAGACAGGTGGTTTTTTTTCACGACCTTTTTTTTTAAGATAAATAAAAAAAAAGACCCACATGATTCCACTGTGTTTATTACTTTTTTTTACTCTTTGCACTAATTAAAAAAAAAAAAAATTAAAAATCTAAATGTTTTAGATTTTTAATTTTTTTTTATTGTTTCAAACTACTGATAAAAAAATATATATATATAGTTTTTAAATTTTCAAGTTTTGAGTGATTTTAACACTAAAAAAGCAAATAATTTTTTTTATGTGGCACTTTAAAGCATTATGAAAATTCCACATTTAGGTATGTTAATAATTGTGTCAATTGAAATGCTTCGCCAAAAATTGTGGTCCGGGAACAACAATACTCCAAAATATTTGCTGCAGTTACCCTAAATGCGAGAGCATTTGGGATAGGTGCAACCTAAAAATTGAAATCCTTGCCCATAAACCCTTAATTTTATATAAAATATGTTACTACTACTTGATAAATAATAATAACATACTCTACATGATATAAATGTAGAGTATGTTATTTTTCGTTTTATAACTTCACTTTTCTGAGCTATATAAGTGCAGCGGTTGAAAGACCGGTAACAAAAACTAAACGAAACCAAAAAATAACATAGAAGTGGTAAAAGCATTAAAATGATTAAAATAATTTAGCGTTAGTAATTGTAAAACTCTAACCAGCTACTTAAATCCTTAACTAAGGATTTCAGTTGTTTTATTGAGCATTAATAATAAATAAATCAAAAATCCTACAGAAAAAATAAACAAACATGTTACATAAAAATGCTAAAAACAATCAAGTTTAACAAAATTAAAACATATGGTAGAAGTTTTAGAAACCATTAATTTCATTTATTTTCGGATTTTTATCATCTCATTATTTATAGATACCACATGCAGAGTGGAGCATTAAAATATTAAATGTGGTATTTTTGAAAACAATTTTAAATGAACCAAGACCCTCCCCCGTTTCATTCATTCTATTATTAAAAACCAGATTTATGTTTGTCCGTGTAATTATGTCTCGGGCAAAGGAAAAAAATATCGCAATGACATCTTGACATTAATATTGTGTTTGATAAGTCAGTTGTAAGTTTAAAAATTTTTTTTTTTTTATAAATTATTAAAAACTAAACATGGTAAATTTAATATTAAACAAAATCATAGGTATGCTACTTCAACTTTTATGAACGATTATTAATATTAATAAAATATTTTAGTTTAATAATTAAAATTATATAAATTTGTATATATATATATATATATATATATATATATATATATATATATATATATATATATATATATATATATATATATATATATATATATATATATATATATATATATATATATATATATATATATATATATATATATATATATATATATATATATATATATATATATATATATATATATTATATATATATATATATATATATATATATATATATATATATATATATATATATATATATTATTATTATTATTATTGTTATTATTATTATTATTATTATTATTATTATTATTATTATTATTATTATTATTATTAATATTAGTTTATGCTGTGACTGGTATTGCTACCAGTGAGTGTGGTTTTAAAGCACACTATGACAGCTGAGTCTTCTGATGGTTTGACTCCCATCGATCAAGTCTTGCTTTAAATGAGTTGACTGAATTAGCTTTAACAACATTTTCTGGTAGTGCATTCCAATAATTTGCAGCTTGATTTAGTCAAATATTTTCTCTATAATTATGTACAAAAAATTCTTCGGAATACTTTAGGTTATGGCCACAAGTACAATTAGATTTGAAGGACTTATTTTTTTTAGATTCAACTTTATTGTAACCTTTAAAAATTTTAAACAATTGAATTATGTCACCACATTGTCTTTATTTAACTAGTGAGGTCATTTTAAGACAAACTAGTCGATCTAATGCTAGAAGGTACTAATTTAGTTGTGCCACTAAATTAGTACCTTCAATCAATTTATTGATTGAAGGTACTAATTTAGTGGCACAATGCTGTATTCTTTCCAAAATTGAAATATCTTGTTTTTGATAAGGAGCCCATACTGGTACAGCAAACTCTAGGAGTGGTCAAACAAAAGAAAGATATAGAGATTTTAGCAGTTCTGCATCAAATCGAACAAAAGATTTTTTTATTATGCCTAACATGCAGTTTGCTTTGCTTGCATTCGATAAGACTTGATTTTTCCACTTCAAGTTATCTGAAAAAATTACTCCTAGGTCCTTTTCTGAATCTGATATGTTGAGTTTACAACCATTTATATAAATTGAGTATCTCTTATTTTTATAGCCATAGTGCATAACTAAATCTTTGTCAATATTAAAGTTAAGCAACCAATCTTGTGTCCAAGCATATGCAAAGTTCAAATCACATTGTATTTTATTATGTAACTCATCAGAAGGACTAATCAACATGATTTTTGTGTCATCAGCATATAATTTTAAAATATTTTTTAGAGACTCAGGAAGATCATTTATATAAAGTATAAAAAGTAGTGGACCCAATACAGGAACTCCACTATACTCATCAGCCCATATTGAGACATAATTTTCCATAGTAACTCTCTGCCTTCTATTTAGATAAGTTTTTGATGTGATACAGTATCAAATCCTTTTCTTAAAGTCAAGTAAAACTTCATCCACAGGAATTATTTGATCCGCATTTTTTGGAATATAATTAAGAGTTTCAAGTAAATTTGTATTATATGATCTATTTTTGATGATATATATATATATATATATATATATATATATATATATATATATATATATATATATACAATTTTTTATTACAGATCTGTGACATTTTATATAAATCTAAGTAGGGTAACTGGGGCATTAAACCCCATGCTTTCTAGTACTTTTCCTTTCTCTTTTTAAAATAAGTAAATATTAAATTCAAACTGGAAATATTTTTATCTAGCAAAACTTAAAGTCATATAGTCATATAGCTTTATCTAGCAAAACTTAAAGTCATATAGTGAATAAAAAAGCTAAAAAGTTACAATTAACTTTGGCTCAAATTTTAAAAAATGGAGTCAATAAGCTCTGCTATGTAAAGCATATATTTTTACATCATTTTTAGACACTTCTTGCAGATCCAGTCCATGGTTTTACTAACAGTTCTGTCTAGAGTTTCTGTGCAATTTAGCATGGTACCAAACATCACATAAGTCACTGGTACACCCATTCTTACCTTTGACCTCTTTGAATACCACATTTTAGATACAGTGTTGTCATCTTCATCACTGTCCCTAATGTCTCAGACTGGAAGATTTCTTCTTTATTCTGTGATGACTATGAAGTTGAAAGCAACACACATAGTAGTGATGTAACTACTATGTGTCACAATGCTTCTGTATAAGGCAGAAGCATTGTGAGCATTAGTGCTGAGAAGTACTTTTAATAGTGCTTGGATTCCTGGGTAGCAGACATCTGCTTAAATATGAAAGAATTGTAGGCATCTGTCATTGTCTTGCTAGTTGCATAGATTTTCCTGCCTCCTTATTCTTTTGTATGCTCGAACCATTTTGCTAAATAAAGGAGTAATAAGCTCCATTATCAAAACCATCTTTAAAGAAAAATTTAAACTGTTTCTACAAATAAATAACTTTTCTTTTTAATTTAAACTATATCTGTGTAATGTTAATAAAATTAAAACATGAATTTTATTTATCTGATTTATTTGATTGTTTTAATCACCTTTTTGAACAGTTGGCATTAACTAGTGGTGGTAGATTAATCGGTATTTTACATTAATCGATTAACAATTAAATTTTGAAAAATTAATTGATTAATTTTTGATTAATTTTAGAAAAAATGTGTTTATAACTTAACAAAGTAAAGTTTTTATTTCTCTTTTCATCAGATCTTAAAAAACATAAACTTAAAAAACATCATTTAAGCTAGTTCTTAAATGATAAATGATAAATGACAAATAAACCAGCTGCACTAAAACTTCTTTCTGTTTCTATATAAGACGGGGGAAGACTTAGCTTGGCATTATAAATCTTTTCTAAAGAACTTGGCCTATTTCCAGTGGTTTTGAGTACTGCAATTTCATGTTTAATGCAAGCTAAAACTTGAGGGGAAGACTTACAAGTTAGCCCTTTAGTTTTTCCTGCTGCTGTATTAGATATTATTTCTGCTGATTCTTCATCTTTAGTTTTTTTTCTTAATGATTCTGTATTACAAGTAGACTCTAACTCAGACTCTACTTGTAATACAGAATCATTAATTTACACGAGGAAGTAGAAGCAAACTATGCTGCTTCTACTTTAGCTTTTGTAGGTATTTTTCTCTTGCAGTTTTAAAAATTTATTTTTATGTGGATATTTCAAAAGATTATCTGGAAATTCTGAGTCTGATTTATAGTCAGCTGGGTTATGTAAAAAGCCAGGGCTGTGGAGTCGGAGTTACTACATTTTTAGCGCAGTTGGAGTCGCATGTACAAAACATTTAATCAACCTTATGTTCATACTAAACCTCAAAGAACGTTTCATAAATTTGTCAAAAAAAACTTTTTAACATATTGCATAATATATTTTCAAAAGTTTTGCTTTGAAGTTGTAGTCAGAGTTGGAGTCTGAGTCGGAGTTGTACTAAAAAAATTCCAACAACTGGAGTTGGAGTCGTTACTTTTTTTTTACGTCTCCACACTCCAATTTCCTGTGAAACAGAGCTAATACTTTCCTTATTCCAGCATTCTTCAGTGTCTTTTTTATTGTCAGGGTCGAAATCAGATGTTTAATTTTCATTCTCATCACTAATTATTTCTTCTTGAGTTATTTCTAATTTTAATCATTTTTTCTTATAAAGAATAACACATACAGCAAGATGAATTCCATGGCAGCAAGTTGGTGTGTAACTCCCACTACTTGTTCCATTTTTTTCATTACTGATGCACCGTAACATAACACATCCAAAAATATCATTGATCAAATTCAAGCCAAATTCATTTGATTTTTCAATAACAATATTAACAGCTCTTTCTGAAAGCAACCAACCTTTCTAATCATTTCAAGACCATAGTGACATTTGTTTGAACAATGTACATTAAAATATAAATACCTTCTAGTTTTACTAGAAGTCCTCTCATCAAGAAAACCTTTCTCCTTTTAATTTTATTTGCTGAAGCTCTTGAACAACTTTTAACTTCATTGAGTTTGCGTAGTTCATAACAATTGTCTTTATAGCATGTCGCTCATCAAGGATTTTAAGTCCTTGAGCTTTCTAGCCATTTTTAATATCTTTGCTATTGGCCAAAGTTACAAATAGGATATGATCAACAGCAGTTAAACGAGCTAATACATCTTCAGCTTTGCTACCTATATTATTACAATAGGCAGCTATAATTGGCTGTATATTTTTAGACTTCTCTGAAAGAACTTTTGTCAAAAAAAGTTTATGTTTGTGCTCTAAATGATTCAAGAAACTTGAAGTTAATGAATGGAATTTAAGTTCGACTGAACAATGTTTGCACTTGTTTGTTGATTTGTCTTTATTTTCCAATAAAAAATGTTTCCAAACTTCAAAGTGGTTTTTTCCAAACAACATTGTAAATTGTGGTTAAGCAGTTGCACTATGAAAAAGCATTGTTTTTGTTTGTTTTACATTAAACAAACAAAAAAAGTTATTATATTATATATACAAAGTTAATTTAATTGATTAATGATTTTTAATCAATCAATCGATTAATTGTTAATCATTTACCATCCCTAGCATTAACAGGGGGCAATAAGCCCCTGCTAATTAAAACATTCATTTTAATAAACTAATTAGACTTATTAATATTCAATAGAACCATATTTCTTTTATAAATGCTATCCATTTAAAATCTTAAATGGAAATTTAGTATTAAAGTGAATTTTAGAGCTATTTAAATATTTATAAACAATCTTTTAGACATTCATCCAACTGCCATTTTACTTTGCTAATATTTTTACCTTCATTTGCTCTACAAATATTAGTATTTTAACTCATTGATAACATACAGAGATAGCTAAAAACTTAAAAAAAGTTTTTAGTTTATATGTACTTGTATTTGTACAAAAATA